TTATTACTTCTTGGTATTTCTCTAAAACACGTCAAACTCAAGGCCCGCGGGCCAAATGTGGCCCACCATGGCACTTCATGTGGCCTGCGAGAGCTCCAAAGATGTAATGTCCTAAAATAAGCACACTGATTTAAAGCCAGCATTGACCATAAACTACATCTCCCATGATGCATGTTGATTATTTTACCGGAAAAGTGATGCATCCACCACTAGGCGGAAGTGCACAGAGTTCAAAAGTAGTCAGTAGTTGGTGAAATCTGCAGAAAAACACAATAACATGTTCAGATTCAAGTTCTGCATTAAGTTTAAAATATAATCATTTAGATAGAAGGATGGATATTTTATTAGAAATATTTCATGTATTATTCAGAATACAAAACATGGGTTTGATAGTTGTATTTGTGTGGGTTCCAGCACATTGGAGTAGAAGGAAATGAGAGGGCAGATAAAATGGCAAAGAGGACAGTTCAAAATCCTATTAGCTTTACAGTTAAAACAAATAAATCTGAGTATTGTTAAAGAAAAACTGATGAAAAGAATGGCAAAAAAAGGTGGGATGAAGGAAAAACAGGAAGATGGTTTTATAAAATTCAGAAGAATGTCGGAGAAAGAAGAAATGAAAGAAGAAATAGAAAGGAGGAAAGAGTGATAACAAGGTTAAGATTTGGACATACAAGACTTAATTATACACTTTTTGCAATACAAAAACATAACACAGGGAAATGTGATTACTGTGGACAAAATGAAACCATAGAACATGTTATAAGAAGTACAAACGAGAGAGACAATTTATGATAAAACAATTCAGAAACTATAAGGAAAGGTTTGACATAATAGACAAAGGAATTTAGGGAGCAAACATATACAAATCATAATACGATTTTTGAAAAAAACAGAATTTTTTAACAGAATTTGAGTTTGATAGTTATTTTTTGAATTATTAATTTGTTTTTTTCCTTCTTTTATTTGATCAGATAGCTTTGAAAATGTCAAAAAGGAAATACAATAATAGTAGCAGTAAATAAATATTAGTGAAATCATCTTGAACCACACTCCATACCAGTTGGTGGTGGTAATGCACAACTTCAGTTGTTTGCCAACTGCCATTAAACATCACACAAGAAGAAGAAGAAGAAATCTGCAGAGTAAAATCATCATTTCATTACATGTTTGCCGACTGCTTTTGCTGTGGCCCAGTTGTACTGGATAGTGGGGATTTCCCATTTATAAGTTGTAAATTTAAATTGAAACACCCCTCCAGTGGGAATTCCCTGTCGGAAAGTGGGAGAGTTCAGATTTCAAGATGGCAGCTGCTAACCACAGCAAGTGAGTAAAACTCTTAGACAGGGAACATGAGGTTTCGTGTTTAGTCAAAGTTAAACTTAAAACATCAAAGAAAACTATAACCATCATGCTTATGACCCTCAGTGAAAAGAATTTTGACAACCTGCTCTAAGAGAAAATAAATAATTGTTATAGAAACAAGCTTGGGAACAAATTAACCCGATTTTTTCCCCCTAAATCTGTCATGATAGAGAAACGTACTGCAGGTCTGAATCCTGCTGTCACAGAGCTCAACAGTCTGAGGTCAGAGCTGCTGTTATAAACATCTGTTTGTATAAATATGTATCATGGTATGGGATGGTATTTGTGTGCAGGTGCACACAAATACGATAAAGAACGATAAAGATGGATATGAAGGGAGGGAGTGAAAGTGTCATCAACATGGAAACAAACAACACCAAAAAAAACTATACAAGATAAAGAAAAGCAACAACAGGAAGACCACGAAGTAAATGAGGAAGAGGAGGTTGTGTTTCCTGCTGCAGAAACCTCCTGCGGTGTTTGGAGTCAGCGCCGCTGCAGAAAGCCCACGACCAACTAACTGCAGCGGTGCCGCCTTCAACGTGCATTTAAATCACAGCAGCGAATGCAATTATATGATAATTCACAGTACAATTCAATTCAGAGGTGCCATTCAGATCCACTCAGAAATAACAGCGCCTTCACAACACATTTGTCAACAGCATTAGCATAGAAATGGGTCTGTGTCCAGCTCCTCCGCAGGCTGCTGACACACTGTAAATACTGTATCTGGAGCTGGAAGGAGACGATGTCCAGAGGCACCGCTGGACCTTTAAAAGGGATCAAAACCAGAAAATCAGTTTAATACTGGGATGTTAGATGGGTCTCCAGTTCATCTGTAAGCTGCTGTGAATATTCCAGGCTAGAATGTGACGAGGCCTGGAGCCGCCACAGGACGTTTGATTGGACCAGGATCTGAAAAAGAGTTTAGTTTTTCAAATCTGGATCAAATGATTCGTATCACCGGTTTGAATAAACCTGTATGCTGAGAGGCAAGTAAGTGGTTCTGAACAATGTCCTGGCATTACATTTCTGTTTATTTACTCTCTGAAAACACCACCCCTGGGTACTATCTGCTACCACACTT